TGTACGTTATCAGATAGCTGACAGTCAACACATCACATGAGTACCCATAATTTGACATTCGATTCATTGCTGTCAAAGTCATGCCCCAGTCATACCAACGAAACCAACAACAGAGCGAACAAACAAATGACCTTACCCCTAAATGGCCAAGAGTCATTCGATTTGAGATAAGTGCTGAGTCGGTTTGGCGGTCATGACTGAGACCGACACAAGACCGACAGCAGATCGAACGAACAACTAAATCATTCCCCCGGGGGTGTTGCATCAATAGAATTGATCCGATCAAATTTAAGATCAATGTTGAGGCTTGGTGAACCCCCCCCCCCCCCCCTCTCCCCTCCCCCCCCCCCTCCCCCCCCCCCCCTCATTAGTTTGGAGTCGACGTGAAGTCGGTTTGTAGGTGTAACTCAGGTATTACATTACTACAAGTGGTAACGATTCGGTCGGTTCTGAGTCGGTGTTGATTTTGAGTCGGTTTGTCGGTTTGTCGGTGTGACTGAGGTTTCACAACTGTTTCCTATCAGATCGATATGATCTGGTGGTCCGCCGAATGACCCAATCATATTTCCGACGGCAATTCCTGTTATTCACGTAGAACTTGTAAGTTCCAGGACCCACTATACTACAAATGTCAAGGGTGTTTGTGAACTTTTCGTGTTATACGATGACAGGGTCAACTGAAGAGCACAACGGGCGTCATTTCCGGCGTGTATAGAGGGTACAATAGCGAGGACAAGTTCGATAAGATAGTCGTTCGATTAATGTTTAAGATCAAGGCTATCCCTTTTGCCGCTCCTTGCGAGCTGATAATAAGCACGATGGCAATTCTACGGGAACGGCATGACAATGTTTTCAGTAAGCTTTTAAAAAGTTAGTTGTCAAACTCTACTAAATTATTTGATAAGTAAACATTTAAAAGGGGTCCTGAGTAATGTCAAAACGTAGTTTTATAATTTGATCATGTTTGATTCAAATCAATATTGTTAGTGCCTGAGCTCATGTTCAAAGTGTACTTTACCATAATGCTAAATTAAAAAATCACTCATCAAACTTTTAAATGGTGACTTCACTGACTTACGTTTTTGGAGTAAAGAAACAAGAGACCACTAAACCAAAAAATGATTATGATTGAATAATGAAGTGATGTTAAAAAATGTCCGTGTAAGTCAAATACTGTCCAATAAGTTATTAATGTCTAGTTCATCTCCATAGCTGCCAATTTTTAAATGGTGCGAAGATAATCGTATGCGTATCTCCTATAACGATTAAATCTTTCATGGAAACTTGTTTAATTAATTAATAAAGAATATTCAACAAGGTTACATGAAATCAAATTATTATTATTGACGTGTTGATTAACTTGACTACGTGAATTGCGCTGACATCTAAGTAAAGAAATCGTATAAATCAGAAATTGTATTTTATGTGACGAGCATTTCTGTTCAGTCTCAAAAGACTGTGTAATAAACATTACCCGTTCCTGAAAACTATACTTCATCTAATGGCCTTAAACACCCAACGGCAGATCCATGACTATATCGCCATTGATCATGGTTTTTTATGATTTCAAAAATTCACGTTCAATATTATAAGGCAATATATATTCTAGCCTTTATTTTCAGCCTTCCTGTCTTAAATGCCAGCACGTGAATCAAACCTTCAAAATCTGTGCAAAATATTTTCCCGAATTTTACGCACGATTCCTTTCCAGGAACTTTGCGCCCACAATTTCCTACGCCCAGACTGACAATGCCAATAATTGACTAAGTGTGGAGATGTCGCTATGATTATGATTGTAATTGATTAGCAAGTTTTATGGACCATAGTTATCCCTTTTAACTTGAAAATGAAAAGAAAGAAAATGGTATTAGCATTGTTACATTTTGATATGTCACTTTTTGTCTTCAGCTTACAATGTGAGTCCAGAGGGGGTCCTGGTATCATTAGGAGAGAGAGGGGGGGGGGGGTCGTCTCAATGTATGCATGTTTGAAATGCAAATTAACAAAGCCATTAAATATCATGATAATAAGGTGTATAGGCAGGATGATAAGGGTCGTGACGTCGTCTTTAATGTTCCCTTCCCTCTTCATTTTCCTTCTCCTTCTTCCCTACTTTTTTTTTAATTTGAAGGGGGCGTCACCCATAGTTACGTCACTGTTCACTTTTAATCATTTTTTTATTGTCAGAGTGCGATACGAGTGCACGATGGCCTGAAAAGGTATGTGAACGGACGAAAATATTGTGTAGACCACTTATCATAATGTAAAGCCGTCTAAATTCCAATTTTCTAATTTACTTGATAAATTATGCATGTCTTGCACATGATCATGGGTTAACCGAATTCCTACAAAAAAAAAACGTTCGCGTGATGATGTGACGTCGTTCATGACTCGCAAGGTCGCCAAACTCTGCGTCTTTAGTACACAAAGACATTAATGGCTTTTTCAGTTCCCGTCGTGAAAGTTTTCAGCGGGTATGTCTCGTGAAACCAGAGTGTGGCGTCATCGAGAGACATCCAAAGACAATTGGTATTATAATGACTAGGGGGTGTTGGAAGTCGTCCTATGTCACCTTATAGTTCCAACCCTTTCCCCTACTCCGTTCTTTCTTCCTCTTTCTCTCTTGTCAATTTTTTCCTCTTCTAATTGAAATTTGGGGATAACTTGTTGGCAACTCCAGACCCATTTCAACTATGTTCTTTATGGCGATGTCCCTGCATGATCATGACGATGTCTTATCCTCATTAAGAGGATACATCCGCATACCTTTTGTTATTCCGTGGTTAGGTTGGTTTCGTGGCCAGATCACATGCGTGCTACACGTATCCATGCCCTGTCATTCCTTACTTCTCATTCTCTGGTGAGCCGGCCGATGCAACTCCAAAATATTTCCGCAAATCTCGTCAAATTGGAAGGGGAAAAAATCCCTGTTTAGTAGTGGTTTACATCAATGTTTTTAGACTTTAGTAAATATTTCAACCAACCGCCACCAAAAAAAAAGATCCTTCGTTTCGCTGTACCGTGTAATGTTGTATTGTCTTGTTATGAATCATGCTATTTTCTCATAATTACCACAACCAACAAAATCGAGTCTCGCGCGAAGTAAAAAGTTCTATAATAAGCAACTTTTGGTTAGAAAAAAATTAACAAAAAAATCAAATATTATAGGGCGAAAATGAGCGTTTAAAAAAGTAGTTATATCTCTCTCTCTCTCTCTCTCTTTCTGTTTCTCTTTTATCTTTGTCTTTTACTTTTCTCTTCCTATCTTCTCTCTCTCTCTCTCTCTCTTTCTCTCTCTCTCTCTCTCTCTCTCTCTTTCCCCGTCAATCTTTCTCAGCTCGGCACTTTCTATCGTTCTCTTTTAGTTTCCTTTTTAATAATTTACCCTTCCAATTTTAGATTTTTACTATTTGATACAGCATCGATTATTGATGAACAAATAAACAAACAAAAAGATACTCATTCACACGATCTTATTTTGATTGTTTTTGTAATTTTACATTTATTTTACGCAAATTCATAATTCATTGTCTTTCTTTTGCACATTGCAAACTCTACTTCATTCTTTTCAATCTTATCAGCACCAGCCTACTTTACTTTCTCCGTTTCGATTGTGTTCTGAAACAAAATGATGAGGAAATCGAATCGATTTCGTCATGGTCGCCATTTTGTGTTCGAACCGTCTGAATCACGTGATTCGCCAGCTCCCTTCCCGCTGTACATCCTCACAAACCAACACAAAAACCATGTCAGTAAGGACACGAAAGTCAGGTTGCTTGAGCTAAGAATGCTCGCAGTACTAAAGGAACTGAAAAATCACTTAACCATTTTGGCATTATTGTGATCAGACGCTTTTCAAACTTTTCTTTTTTACTTTCCTAGTCTTTAACATTCGTTCTATTTGGCCACGGCTCTGTGCTTTACGCTTTCTATGGTCTTTCCAGCATAATCCCAATGATTAATCATGTATCATAAATCAATAACATAAATATATACGTATGACATTCTATCAGGTCATAATACTGTAACAACTTCAATTCATCCCATAAACTACCACATAATAATGTCCTATAACCATCTTCATCGACGTAGATCATTTGGAGCGTAACGCAATCTCCAAATATCTACGAATGCTTATAATGCAACAATATTTTCCATCTACTTGCTGACTTGCTGTAGGCTCTATTTTAATGTTGCAAGTGCCATTTAGATTTTTTTCAAATGCTATCTTATATGTTTAGGGAGACGCCTTCCTATTGGTCTAGCCTTTCTTCTTCGCCTCTTATCATTTTACTCGGCATAGACCCTGTCCGTGCTCCGAAACGACTGTCGAACTCCATTTGGGTTCGTTGATCGTATTCGGAGCCATCTGGTCATGACCTTCCGATTTCCTTCCCGCAGGTCGATTCCCGATCCCAAGCATACAGATCTCCGATATTTTCCCGCTCAACGCGCGCGCGCATGTTTGCGAATCTCCCGAAAATTTGTAGCTCATCGAGGGTATTGAATTCAATGTCTCTAAAAGTTTCGGGTGGTTCGCTGAGGTTGTAATAGCTAGGGGAGCATCGAAAACCTGCCAACTTGAGACGAGAGCCTCCGCAGTACTAAAGAAACCGATAAGTCACTTCAATTCATTATAGAGACCAGATGCTTTCTTTCCCATTTTCCCTTTATCTGCCTTATCATTTTCGTCATTTCTGACGATCAGGTTTGAAACTTATTCGAGCACTTTAGCTCTTCTGTCTAATCTGGCTTTGGTTGTTCATAGCTGTAAGAGGCCTGGTAATATCCTGAATGGATTTTTTTTTTGTTTAAGTTCCATCGGCTATTGTTAATATCAGCCTGTTCATGTCTTCTCTACATCGTATTTTGCTTATTGTCTTTGGTTGACAAATAAAGGCCATACTTTTTCCTTCCATAAATGTTAAATATCTTAACTAAATACATCTATTATTTTGATATATGTACACATCAATATAAAATATCATCTCAAGGCTAGATTATGACTGGTTTCTTTTCCGAGCTTTGGCGATGACCTTCTCAATGTGTTTCCATGAGGGTCGTAGACGAGGCTTGACATTGGTCATCTCTGCTGCTAGGTCACGCAGAGGTCGACTTCTAATCCCCCTCTCAATCCGAGCCAGGATCTTGCCCAAGGAATATATGTCAGTTTGAACACTCATGGGTTGTAGATCCAGGATGTATTCCGGAGCCAGATGCGGAAAGAGAATGCCATCTTTGTACCCTGTTATCTCCTCCTTGGGCACCTGCTTGTGCCTGAGGGGTATGGTCTGAGTAGAGACTTTCCCCATGTCGATGATAAAAGCATGCCATCGTTGGTCCTCCAGTTGCCATTGCAAGAGAATGTTGTTAGCTTTCAGGTCGTTATGCAAGAGACCTTTCTCGTGCATGGCTTTCAATCCGTGAACGATGTCCATCATGACGAGGAACCAATGTTCTTTCGAGAGAGCTGGGATCTGGAACTTGATGGCCTGACTGAGCGAGTAGATCGTACCGGTCTCCTTGTCACCAAGGAACTCGAGTACGAGGGATGGAGCGCCTTCGATGTCGACGATGCCGAGTGTCTTTGGGAATGAGGGGTGGTCAGCGAAGGCGAGATTGACCAGGGCTTCCATGGTGATACGAGCGTGATCGGCTTTGATTCGAACCATCCTCATCTCATCGTCTTCATCCCTCACGGCCTCACTGATGTACGGCACCTTGACGGCGACAGCCTCACCCTGGAACTCTCTCAAGAATACTTTCCCGAATGAACCCTTTCCGATGAGATCATCATCCTCATCGACGTCGGCTCCTACCAGGAATGAAAGGTCTTCGTGCTTGATGACGGGCACCACCACATCTGAAGGAATCAGCTCAACCACAGCTCGGTCTACGTAAGCCATGTTGTCATACATCGAGTCCTTTTCATGAAGCACATTCTTGTGGAAGCTGAGAATGGAAAGATTGAGAAGAAAAAAAGAACGTCATTGTTTGTTTGTTTGTTTGTTTGTTTGTATTTATTTCTGCATTTTCAAAATGAAACATAATCATATACATAAAGTAACAAATATTTCTTCATTTTACATAATTATACATTTTTAAGTACATTGAATAAGATGCATACAAACACAAATAGAATTTCAATGAAAAAAGATAAATTACAGAAAATGCAGGAGACCGCCATCATGAGCGGTAAGCTTGAAATCGATGGCGGCCTCGTTATGAACCATCGATTACTAATCTTATTCATTATTGATACTAACACAATTATCCTCTATGAGAACTCATCACATATGGAAATATAACAAAATAACATTTAAAAACACATAGGCAGATTACGTGACTGTGCCAAATCAGTTGAGGAACCGTCACGTATTTGGTGTCACATGGACATTGTCATTTCAATTTTATCTCATCATGGTGACTGTTTAAATTTGATTATACTTACACAGAGAGTTGATATCTTAGTTTCTTGATCAAGCTTTCTTGTCTGCAATTCTGGTATTGAAGATCTTCTAACATCTCCTTCAGTTCACACTTCTCTCGCTCTCCAGGACTGAAAAGAAAGAAAAATCAATTTAGAGTTAAATTGCAGTACTTCTTTTATCTTCTGTCCGTTCGATTGTTTTCCTGATTGCACTTTGCTTGCTTGTTTGTTTGATTACGTTTTGTTGTTGTTGTTGTTGTGTGTGTGTGTATTTTTCATGGCGGAGAAACTTGCAGGTAAATGAATCTTTGATTTTGGTATATCCATCTTGGCGAATGAATTGAAATGATTCAGACTTTAGTTGAGGATTCTTCAAACTTAGCTTCAAGTTCCAATCAAGGTGTGACATTTTTATGACAAAGAAGTACAAAAAACATATTTTGAATTATTACAAATATAATATTCTAAAGGTATCTAATCTTATTAGCTTTTCATCTGATAAAAGAACTACTTTACCTTTTCTCTGCAGCCGAATCTCCGCATTCAAGAAAGGGATCTCCAATAGCCGGAATACTGATCTAAGAGAGTAAACAAAATCGGAATACGGGAATTTTATTTGTTATTTCAAATTCCCCAAAGCTAATGTTTGCAGTCATTTTTACTAAATAAATATGAATAAAGACTTCAATTCCTCATCTAATTAATGAAAACTTTCATTACATGATTTCTTTTCCTTCTAGACACAAAAGCAAGTAAAACTGTAATCAATGTCATATAATTTAAACACAAACTTCATTAATTAAAAATAAATTTAGGATAATGCGATATATACTCAATCAAATTTAACGGTGTGACGTACCATTTCTTCGAAGGTCTTTTTGGTCCTGTTCAAATTCGCAATCTCGAGTTTCAAGTGTGCATTGAGTTGGTTCATGTCATCGAGAGCCTGGAACAGGTCAGTGATGCAGATTGAATCCCCAACCTTTTCTATGAGTCCATACTGAATGGCGGCTGCGGCCACTGAAGCTTTCATACTCTGAAGAAAAGAAAAAAACAGAAAGAGTAAAATAATTGAGGAATTCTAAACGAAATGCACATATATATATTTAATTAGTTTTGGGATTTGAGGCCTCTATAAGGATGTTGAAATCAATCTTGTGTCAATTTACATTTATCATATTGTGTTTTCGCCCCATAGAGATCTTTACTTTCAGAGAGTTGGTCGACAGTATAATTATGTTTAAGCTTAAATGAAATTTAATCGCCCAAGACAGACTAGCGGAGCTATTTGGTAACTTATTCCTTTCGAATAGCGCGCTGTTTTGGTTTTGAACCCAGGCGTCCTGTTTTCAAGACTTTTTGTTGTTAAACTTGATATAAAAAGTATTCGAAATTAAAAAAAAATAGAAAAATAAAACTGAGATGGGAGGCTTCTTACCTGTAGTTCTTCCTCACATTCCTTCTGTTTATTCTCAGCTAGTAATAATTTCTCCTCCAGGAGAGCAATCATTTCGATCATCGTGGATGCTTTCTCTTTAAGCTCCTAGGAGATAAAGGTTTGGATATTGTTAGGTCTTTACTTGCACGGGCTTAGCATATTTCACTGTTAATCGATAAGTGCTCTGTCTACACACTATTTCTGCGAGAAAAAATAATAACGAGAATAATCAAAATTTGTATATATAGATAATACTTTTTTTTAATTATTAAAAAACATTATGAATAATTATGATAATGATAATAATAATAATAATAATAATAATAATAATAATAATAATAATAATAATAATAATAATAATAATAAATAATAATAATACTACTACTACTACTACTACTACTACTACTAATAATAATAATAATAATAATAATATTAATAATGATAATAATAATAATGATACATGTAATGATAATAATTACAATATTTTACTTACCTCGTTGTTTTTCTTCTGGAACTCTATTTGATTTTTGAGACCTCTGTTGTGAACGTTAAGATCTTTGATATCATCCTTGTAGTCGTCAGCCATAGCGAAGGCAGTCTTAACTTTGTTCTTAGCCAGCTGTAGGGATGGCAAAACAAACAATAAAGTTAAGACTCATTCGTGACATATAGAATTGAACATTCCAGGGATCAATGATAACTATATATGTAAATTTCTTTGGACTCACGGGGATAAGAATTTTACTAAGGAGAAAAGAAAGAGAATGCAAACGCGTCTAGAATTCAAGTACTGTTTCATTACCTGACCCGCAAACCTTCATGGCAAAAGAACTTTTTCTTTTGTTAGAACTTAAACAAAATCTATATTTATATAAATAAAATTGTACCACAAAGTTTTTACCTTGATTTCATACTCGAGTTTCTTATTCTTTTCCTCAATCTCCATTCTGAGTTCTTCCGCTTGTTCGACCTTTTCCATGGCAGCCTTATTTTGCTCCGTGAATTCCTGAAGAAGAAAAAAAAAAGAATCGTAAATCGGAAACGGATTACAGACATGAAAATATTGTCACTTTTCCTAATTCCTGAAAACACACAAAAAGGTATTAAATGAAGGCTAACATTTGTTAAAGCTTATCTGCCGTAGTTTACAGGAGGGATTAGACCGCCCTGCAAGGTCACTGGACATGTGGTTATCTCATCAACTCAGCTCTCAGTTAACATAAGAAAAAGAGGATCATGGGGGACCAATGGTCACCGATTAGGCATTGTTTGTTATATAGAGGGCGCAAGTAGCTACAAGTAGTGCAGTGGGCCTTTAAGCTTCATTTTTTAATTATGCTCACGTTCTAGGTAATAACCCTTATACCGACAACGTTTCATTTTCATCCATTGCTGTGATCTATACTTCAAAAACAATATACGAATTGTTTGCATTTCGATTTTCCTGAATCCTTATGCATTTACCTAACTGACTTCAACAACTTTTTTCATCTTCCTTAAGGCCCGGTCACACAGGGAGGACGCATGGGGAACGCACGGCCAGCGCATTGGAAATTTGCAATTTGGGCCAGTGCGTTGTCGTTCGCTAGGCGTGCGTCATCATTCGTTACTCGTTCGTCGAGCGCGCTGGACCAACGCTGGACCAGCGCTATGCATGCGTCGTCATTCGCTGTGTGCGTCGGGATTTTTTGAGCATGCTCAAAAACGTGCGCCGAGCTCGACGCATGAATATACACGCCAAAGGCACGCCAGACATGCGCCGGAGCGCGCTAGACCAGCGCCAGACATGCGTGGAGCGCGCTAGACCAGCGCCAGACAAACGCGGAGCACACGCCCTGTATACGCACAGCGCGCTAGCTACACGCCGTGCATTTTGTGTCAGCTCGCTAGCTTTTCCAAAATTATGACAAAAGTTAGGCACACGTTCTTTTCCGATTTCCAATGCGCCGGCCGTGCGTCGTAGAACGCGGTGCATGCGTGGACCATTCGTCCAGCGCGCTAGCAACACGCTGTGCATTCGTGGAAGTTGTTTTCATGTGCGCTCTGTGTGCGCCCTGTGTGCGCCCTGTGTGCGCCCTGTATACGCCCCGTATGCGTCCAGCGCGCTATGCATTTGGTGTCAGCTAGCTGTATAGCTTCGACAAAAGTTGGGCGCACGACAACGCACTGGCCAAAATTGCACATTTTCCATGCGCCGGCCGTGCGTCCCCCATGCGTCCCCTCTGTGTGACCGGGCCTTAAGATAGGCTGTGCACAACTTTTTTTTTTTTGAATTACCTTACACAGCTTTACAGAACAAATTTACAGTGTATGTACTTGGAGAGCACCAAAAAAAAAATTAATATACTAATGTAAAGCGCTTTGAGCATGTTTTTGTAAAGGCGCTATATAGTATGTAATTTTATTTTGTTTATGTTGTGTTTTAATCTTTTCTTTAAAATTATAATACAATATTATCCTCACCAGACGCTCTTTCTCAGCAGTCTCTAATTTCTCCTGGAGCTCTCTCCTGTCCTGCTGTATGTCAGCGATCCTCTTGTCGAGTATTTCAGTCGCTTTGTGGATGATTTCCAGTCTTACATCGGATTCCTGAATTAACATGAACATGTTCAATATAAAAGTAGATTGGTGTATACATTGGTATTGATGGTAATAAAGGTGATGCAGATGATGATGAGGTTGATGATGATGATGATGATGATGATGGTGGTCGTGGTCGTGGTCGTTGTAGTGGTCGTGATAATGATGATGGTGTTGGTGGTTGTCGTCGTGATATTAATGATGATGATGATGATGATGGTGATAATGATGATGATGATGATGATGATGATGGTGATGGTGATGATTATGATGATGGTGGTGGTGGTGGTGGTTGTGGTGGTTTTGTTTGTTGTCGTTATAATGATGGTGGTGATGATGGTGATGACGATGATGACGATGATGGTGATGATGATGATGATGATGATGATGACGGTGACGATCATGATGATGATGGTGGTGATGATGATGATGATATTGATAATGGGAATGATGGTGATAATGATGATGATGATGATGATGATGATGATGACGGTGATGATGATGATGATGGTGGTGGTGGTGGTGGTAATGGTGGTGGTAATGGGGGTGGTGGTGGTTGTCGTGATTATAATGATGATGATGATGATGATGATGATGATGATGATGAAGATAATTATGGAAATTACCATAATGATGTGAAATGTGAAAAACGAGTTTGTAACCAATGAATTATGCATCGACTGTAATCATAACTATGTTATAGATTCAAACATGAAGTTATAAAGAGGGACTTGTAATAGCAATGGTTTAGGTCTCGGACATTCTTAAAATTACATATTACTATTTTCAGATTATAATATCCTTTTTTCAATTGTAAACACTAAAAAAAGAATATTAACTATTTTTGTTTTACCTGGCATTCCTTGCGACTGTCTTCAAGTTCCATGGAAAGTTCTTCCTTTTCCTCAATCAACTTTGAACCAAGTATGTGACGATTTTCACTATCTTGACTAACAGACTCGAACTGATCTTGCAACAGCTATCAGGAAAAACAAAATCGAAACCACATTTATAAAACATTGTATACATGTGTACGGGTACATATTAATTCTTCCAAAAGTGCCTCTAAGAGCATTTTATTCCAAATCAATTCAATGTTTATTATTCACAAATTCAATAAATCATACATAATACACAGATTCTCAAGAAAAAAAGTGACCAAGGCCAAAAGCCGGAAGCGGAAATAATGAGAATTTCTCCCCCTCCCCCAACAAAAAAACGCTATTGAGATTACTTCTTCATTGTCAACAACATTCAGTTCAGAAATAAATTTCGAAATATAAAATAAAAACATGAAAATTCAAAGATCAAAATAGGCCTTACCTATCTTGAAAATATAATGAAAGAAATACCTGAAACTGTGCCTGACTGTTTTGAAGTTGTGTCAAAAGATTGGCCTTTTCTTTCTCCCATTTCAAGGCTTCTTGCTCGAACTGTGCTTTTTCGGTGGCTGCAGCGGCGACTTTTTCTTCTAAGACCTGAAGAAAGTAGAAAAATAAAGACATTTTGAGGTTATGGGCATGGGTTAGCGGAGGAATAGAAGAGATTCATAATGTAATTAATTAACTCGTGTACTCAAATGCTTGAAGCTACGACACGAAGTCCTAAACATAAGCATACAGACAGCCATATTTTATTTGAGAGAGAGGAAAGTGTCGAATCGAAATGAGGTTAACTAATTGTTTATTCTGTTTGAAAAAAGAGCCAATAATTAAAAAAAAAAGAAAAAAAAATCCTCAATAACTATATCTTTTCCTATACATATCAAGAGACTGCAATATTTGTCTTTTTAAGAATACGTGCCCCTATTTTAATTGCGCTTGAAAAAAGTAACCCATTGCGAAGTCCTTTTGAGATTTATTACCTGACATAGCTCCATACTTTTCTCAAGTTCCTCGAAAAGTCCATCGTCTTGACTCTCAACGTGTGTAGGTTCCTGACGGAGTTTCTCATTGTCTTGGTTCAAACTCTCCATCTCTTCTTGGAGATGCTAATTATTATAAATAGATCAAACATATAACATAAACGTCAAAATATGAAATTAATTTTCCAGGCAAAGTTTAGATTGTACAGTATATCTGTAACAGATTGAACAGACTTCACACTGTTACAAAAATATGGCAATTCTGATCACGACAAACTGCATCGATCGTTTAAGTTTCCTTAGCGTCCAAACATTTCAAATCGATTTAACCGAGCAATATGATAGAGAGTAATGTATATTCTCACCGCATGAACTTATATCTTCTACAATATTTTTCAAAGCGTTTCATGTGTCAGGAAAACATGGTGTAATGACACATTTGCAATGGGTGTTCTCTCTCTCTCTCTCTCTCTCTCTCCCTCTCTCTCTCTCTACAATATATATATTACCTTGCATAGATTACGCATGGATCCGAGTGAAGTTGAAAGGGTGCCATTTTCCTCCTTCAGTTTTGCAGCAACTTCTTGTTCTTTCTCACCTTCTTCTTCCAAAGAACTAAGTTTATCTTCCAGTGCCTGTTAGAAGGAGATGAAATTTGATTTATTCAATTTTTAAAGTTTCCTTTCTCCTTTCCAGAGAAAGGGAAAAGAGGTGTTGTGGCGTAGTGGATAAGTCGTCGGACTGTGAATCACAGGGTCCGCGGTTCGAGTCCCGCCGCGGCACTAATGTCCTTTGGCAAGACATTGATCTACACTTGCCACTCTCCACCCAGGTGTTAAATGGGTACCGGTGGGAAGGAATTTCTTGAAATGCTGTGAGCGTCGAAATCGGCAGCCTATAGCATAGCCGGGTAATGTTGGAGCGCCTTGAGGACCTTGCAAGGTCAATACGTGCGCTATGTAAGAATCCAATATTATTATTATTATTAGATCACGACTTCACAGTTCTTTTCAAGTGGTATTTCAATCAGCGCCATTAATTCCTATAGTTTAATATTGTCTAGTTGTTTATTACAAGTTACAACATAGACTTCAGCAGCAATCAAAATCATATATAATCATTATCGGTTACTACTTTTAAAAGAAGATCCATTACTGGTCAATTTTGGAAAGTTGGAAAGCGTCTAATGATTTATATGTTCATCCCTATTTACATGATTAAGATAGACCTATATTACAAAAACAAGCAATGAGAATTTTGGCCTAATAAATTACAAAACGTCCAAACTTATTAATTAAGTATATTGAATATTGTGTTGACAGAGTATCATTCATTTTGCGCTGTTTTTGTGTGTAGATAGTGTACATAATCGTAGCTATCTCTACTTACATATTTCTCCTTGTACCCCTGTCCTATTTCAGTTGATAGTTTGTAATTATCTTCAGCCAAGCTGTCAGCCAGAGATTGAAACTCTATCTTCTCCTCGTGTAAAATATCATATTCTTCTTCCAGTGCCTATGAGAGAGAGAGAGAAAGAGAGAGAGAAAGAGAGAGAAAGAGAGACAGAGAGAGAGAGAGAGACAGAGAGACAGAGAGAGACAGAGAGAGAGAGAAAGAGAGAGACAGAGAGACAGAGAGACAGAGAGAGACAGAGAGAGAGAGAGATGGAGAGACAGAGAGAGAGACAGAGACAGAGAGTGATAGAGAGGCAGAGACAGAGAGTTAGACAGAGACAAAGACAGAGACAACAAGAGATACAGAAAGGGATGAGAAGGAGGGGGTTGACAGAGGAAAATGGAAAGCTTTTTTTTAATTCTCTTTTTGATAGATTCCAAAAGAACATCTAAGGGTGACATCAGTCTATGTAATGATTACACCAAATTTCATTACCTCAAAAAACAAATCATTCAAATTATTTTGTCATTGTGTTATTTTGGTTATGAAAGAGATATATCTGTCATATTGAGTTATTTTTAATGTGATTCTTCATATTTTTCATTAAATAATCAAAGTTACCTGATATTTCTGAGTGGCTTCCTCAAGCCGAGTTGAGAGGTCGTCGTGTTTCTCTGCTTGACTGTTAGGTTGTTTCTTTTCAGGATCCGTTTTCTTTCTGATGACCGGGATTATCTCCCCCAGGAACTAAATGAATCAATTGAATATAATTATGTGGTAATTAAATATGTCAAAATTAATGTATACATTTATATTCTGTTTTAGATTCTGTTTATCATTCATTTCAGTCTCCCGTTTAAATATTTTCATAAAGCCAATGGCATAATGATAGCTCTTATACAACAATAATTGTAATACTAGTACTAGTAGTCTAGTCTGTACGCACGATTTGTTTTATTCTCTTTGCCAAACTCCGTTAACATTACATGGCATTTTATTCTAAGCGTTTGGGTCTGTAATTATTTGATCCTGCGTAACTCAAAGCTTTAGAAGTTGTTGATGTTGAGTCAATCTTTTTCCATATAATTTCAATGTTTTCGATAGTATTTGATTAAACTTTGTAAAGTGATTTTCTTTCCTGTCCTAAATTTGTGTAATGAATTTGTTATATTTTTAATCTATCTAGTTAAAACAAACCTACTCAGAAGAACAACCTGATAGGAAATTGTACCTGGCGCTGTTTGGGAGTCTTCCTGAGTTTAAACTTCTGTTCATGTCTCTCCTCTGTAAAACTATTATAGCGAGGCTGGAATGATTCTATCTCCTCCTGGAATGATTCTCTCTCCTCTTGCATGGGTTCTATCTCGTCGTCCCATTCTAGTTCTCCCCCTTGGTCCTCGGCTGTGAAACTCTGTTCTGGTTCCTAAGAAAATTAATGCAATCTCTTGATAAAAAAATATATACGCTTCGTTTCAGATATTGAAGAAAAGAGTAACAAAATTACCGATTGTAGATTTATAATTACATGAGAAGACACTGCCTTCGTCCGATGTCCGTTTCTAGAATGTTATTAGTACCTTACATTAATGTACATTCTTCTTTGTTATATTCAATGCATGTTTTATTCTATTTTTATATTTTGACTTGTGCTTTTGTATTGTTTATACCTGATATTGCTGGAGACGTTCACTGAGCTGAGCTGAAAGTTCGTCTTTTTCCCCCTCCAAGCTGAGAGTAAGAGTCTGCAGTTGTTTCTTCTCCGCATACACAGCCGCGAATCCCTCTTCCAATTCCTACCAAAATGAATTCAATTTGCACAATAATCTATACATATAAACAAATATGGAGTTGGAGAGGCAATTAGAAAGCCATTGTTTTTTTCCTTCAACTGAAAGTACAAGATTGTACATGCCATTTTTTGAAAATATTCAATGTAATCATCTGATCTTTTTCGAAGATATAGTCATAACATTACAGATATGAAATAATCCTATCAGAACATAATTTTCAATCACCAATTAGTGTTTATATACCTGGTATTGTTTATGAGCTTCACTCAGCTGAGCCGAAAGATCATCTTTCTCTTCTTCCATGCTGTCAGCGCGAGATTGAAGTTGGTCTTTCTCTTCATTCACAGCTTTTAGTTGATTGTCCAATTCCTATATCAAATTAAATAAAATAAGTACTTGATTGATATTTGTGTCGAAGAAAGAAAGGGAGAGCAAGAGAGAGGCGAAGAACATGAAAATAATACGCTTACAATACTTTCATTAATTCACATTATTTTATCATAATGATAATAATAATAATATTGGATATTTATATAGCGCACATATCCACCATGCATGTTGCTCAAGGTTCTCCAACTATAGTTCATCATTTATTCAAAACCATATATCTAAATCCTATAAAAAAAACTACCAATACTGTAGATGAAAGAGGGAACAAAATTAAAACGCAAGGGTTTAACTTACCTTCTTATCCTTCTGCATGTTTTTGATTTGAGAAGAAAGATTGTCCTTTTCTTTCTGTACCACTTCCATCCCACTTTCAAACTTCTTGAGCTGCTGAGATGCTTTGGCAAAATTTTCCTCCACCTTCTGTTGAACACAATTAAGAAAAAAAAGACATACTGTAATAAACCTCATGAAATACTGAATTTCTGATGATAATAGCCGATGGCGTATCAAGTAAGTGAAGGAAGGGACGTCTCCTCCCCCCCCCCCCCCCCCACAAAAAATAATAATAATCAAACTTGCAAAGAGTTTAACATGCAGGAAGCCCAAGTACATCCTCTCCTCGGAAGATTTCAATAATAAATCACTCCTTTTCCCCCTTATTTCTGAGTATTGACATGACTCGTTTTTATCCCTTTTCTATGAAGCTTACAACAAGCTAGGGGAAATGGGGTTAGCAATACATATTTACATAATTATGTATTATACATATTATTTGGTTTGTTCTGATACACAGCTATCTAGTTCTCACATTCATTACAAAATGAGGTTATCGATGGATCCCATTTGTGAGGGTGGTAGTATACTTGTTTGTATTCTAACACTATGCTCTCACAAGAATCCTACAGCTATTAAATTTAATTTTTGACAATATTGTCATGATGGCCAAGCTACCTGACAATCTTGCTGACTCTGCTCTAGTTCTGTGGAGATGTCGGCCATTTTGGTTTTCAAGTGGGCGATCTTTTCTCGAAGCTTCTCAACTTCTCGAGTCATGGCTGCCATCTTTCCGTCAACATCAGTGTGCTAAAAAAGTTCCGGGGCAACCAAATTATAATTATCGATGGGTAAGTAAAAAATGCTAAATTATATTTGCCCGACTGGCATGCAAAACGTTGTATTCTTTTATAGTGGTTTACTTGATTGAATTCGGGACAGTGTTGTTGGGGAAAGTGCACGAACGTTTAAGTAAAGGTAGTTATAAAAACTTTGACATTTTTGTTATGGAAAAGGTAGATTAAAGATAAGCGAATAAAATATAGGATTAGAATAACAGATTTAAGAGTGTCGCATTTACATGAAATGTCAGTGAGGGAAACTTTATAATTCCATGAATATTTCCATTTTATTGTAATTTCATTTAAATTTGCAATTGAATATTGCAAATCATTGTTATCTGAATATTCCTCAAAATCCTTTTTGAAGGTTTAAAGTGAATAAACAAGTGGTTTAAATAATCGTAAAAAACAATTGTTTACTTCTTGGGTCCCGACAGGGTTGGCAATGCCGGCCACCTTCTCCTGGCGAGTTGTATTCTTGGTCATCACGCGGTGTTTCTCCTTTTCACCCTGAAATAAAAAATTAAAAATATCAATAGTGAAAAGTAGTATATCAAACAATAATGCTATGCTTTTTTTTTATTGTTGTTGTTGTTGCGCAGGTGCATGTACATATACATATTATTGACGATTTAAATTAGAATGATCATGATGTTTCCTTAAGTTAGTCAGAAATTATAATTGATGATATTTCGATATTCAAATCAAAATTGTTAAAGATTCAAAGAAGCATTGAAAATGGGCGAATGCCTATGGATTATAATGTTCCTTGATAACTCTGTTAGTGTCTTTTTACCTTGAGTTTTGACTTAAGATGTTTTAGCTTTAACTTGAGAAGAGAGGCCTCACTGGCGTGACTGTCCTGTTTTGCGAGAAGGACTTCGTTCTCTCGCAGTGCGGACTGTATCAAAGCAATGACAACAATGGTGATTAGGATAAGGATTTTTATTTTGCTGGTAAAAAGAAATAATTAACGACATCAACGAAAAAGCCAACCAAAGCAAAACAAAACTTCTTCTTTGTCTCCTGAATTCCTTTTTACATTTTTTCTATTTCTTCTTCTTTTTTTTTACCTTTTATTTTGCTTCTTTTTCTTTCTTTCTTTCTTCTTCATCTTTCTTCTTTTTCTCCTTTTTATTTTTCTATTCCTTCCCCTTCTCCTTCATCTTTTCTAAGATTTCCCTTTTCTTCGTCCCCTTCTTCTATCTTCTTCTTTCTTTCTTATTTTCCTCTTGTAATTCTCAGTAATCTGTCATCTTGTACTTGTCTTTATTATCAAGTGAATTTTTTAAAACCAATGATGTTCTAACATGTCTTCAATGAGCGAGATCAAATAAAAAAGATGACCACAATGATAATGGCTCAGCGACAGTCATGGTTGAGCAGTGGTCTCGTAACCGAGAGGTCCCAGGTTCGAAACCAAGTCGATGTGCCAGTGCCCTCTGGTAAGGCATTAATCATCATTACCAGGAGAGGAATTGAAGCCGTCGGTCCCCTGGTTGCTTAATTACGAGCTTACACACGCTGTCTTATAGCAGTCAGGTAAAACGATCAAACAATAATAGATTTTGTACCTACCCGTAATCTTTCCGTGTTTCGTCTTAGAAGAAGATCGAGGCACTCACACTGATCACCACATTCCTGGATCAAAGAGATCGATTCTCGACGTTGATCAATCAAACCCTGACACAAAAAAAAAAAAAACAAGAAAAGGATTATTAAAACACTCATGAAAGTCAAGAAATATAGGAGTTGGCAACTGCATATATTTTACCAATCCCGCCACTATGGCCCGAATTCAAAAAGGAGGTTTGTCGACAAACCGAGGTTTATGTGCGTCATACGACGCGTTTCGACGCGTTTTTACAAACCTTGGTTTGTAAAAGACAAAAGGAGGATTGTCGAAACAAAAGGAGGTTTGTCGACAAACCTCCTTTGTGAATTCGGGCCAATAAGGCCAAAGGAGAGATGAAATAAAGCTACATGTTAATGACAGTTTTCTTTTAGTTGCAGATATAAATGCCTTGATCATATTTGCTCACACTCTGAATTCGTAATTGCGAGATGATATTTCTTTTTCTCTAAGAAATACTTGGCTGATCTGCATCGTAACTCGTCGGAAAATGTTAATGTTTAGATTCAAATGTTTTTTACGATATATTTTTGACATATTTTTATACTCATGGTACGTGCATGAAATACGAATATAAGCTAGGATAATCTTTACCCCCCCCCCCCCTTTTTTTTTAACAAACAATCTCTACTCTGCAATTTTTTTAATTATTAGTCAATGTTCTTAATGGAAAGCGAATTTGGTACACACCTGGAGGAGTTTGGCTAGCTCCACATTCTTCTTCGTAACCCGTGATATATCTGCTTCGTGCTGTGAGATCAGATCATCTTTCTCTTGGTGCAGGCGCTGCAAAAAAGCAACCAAAAGACAAGCAAATCTCAAGGGATAACGGCCTGATTTATCACTCATTAGTGGGGTAAAAAAATGGACTTGAACTTACAAAACTATCATTGTTATTTTTGCTTTTCTCCCTGAAGAAATTGCAGAAATGCAATATTTTCAGGGAGAACTCTGTTTTTTGTTTGTGTGTATGTTTTGTATTTTGTTTATATCATGTTAAATTTATTTTTTGCAACCTTGACTTTTATCATAATGTGCGAATAAAGAACATGAAATGAAGAGAAGGACCATAATAATTTGATAAGCACACTGACATTAAATTAAATATTTTCGAATTATATAATCAATGAAATCATACTTTCTCAGAAATGTTAAAGACCGTCAATACTACTGGGCCAGAAGGAATTAGACCACACAGCGAGGTCACTGCTGCAGGTGGCTATCTCATTAACTCAGCTCTCAACTAACATAAGAAAAAGAGGATCATGGGGGACCAATAGGCACCGATTGGGGAAGTTTTCTATATAGAGGGAGCAAGTAGCTACAAGTAGGGCAGTGGGGCTTTAAAGGGAATTTACAAAATGAAAACACAAAGAATGGAAGAGCTGTTTTAAAGTGACACTCCAAAATATAGCCCACGGAAAAAGAGGCTTATCCCTCAGAGGATCACAATATTCTGAGAAATATTCTTCTACAGTAGATCTTATGACCAAAGATTTCGCGATAATGTACCTCGAGTTGTAGACCTTGTTCTTTCATTTGCCTGAGCGAATCGTCAACTTTGTTTTCCACCAGCACATGGTCATCTTCGGCTCCGTCTCTTACAGGATGACTCTGAGAAGTAAAATGCGGTATCAAGTGATTTGATCAAATTCACTTATAAAACACTATTAAGGTGTATGATATTTCGAATTCATGAGAATATCTGAATTCTTTTGACAACTATTATTATCACTTAGAAAGAAATGACCAGTGTTATTGCTATGGTGGATCCTGCTTATTGTACATATGAACTTTATATTTACACCTTGCAGTTCTTAATAATACTAAATGCAACCCTATATTACCTGGAGTTGTGAAGTCAGATCTTTCTTCTCCTGTTCCAAGTCGGAGATTTTCCTTTGCAAGGTCATAACAAGGCTTCCGCCCTTGCTCTCTGTTCGGTCATGCGCCTATATAATTATTATTAAAGATAATAGTTAAAGAATATTATTTTCATAATTCATGATTACGAATTCTCAATTAAAGGGACTTGGTAACATTGTTCAGATGAGATTTTAGGTGAATGTAAATCGTCACAAAGCAATAAAATGGCTCTACATTCCATTACATACATTTAAGTGTTGACAGATTTTTTACAGCCTGTTTTATGTCCTTTTTTCATGGAAAAACGGTTGGAAAAATTCAAAAATGGTTGGGAGAATTTACTGTTAATCACTGTTAGAGGGTGTCATACATTGACGCCTTCAAAGAAAACCATAGATATCTTCGTGGATTGAGAATTTTGTTAGAATTTTTTGCATGTCAGAAGGAATATAGTAAGTAACATTTTATACAAAAATTAAGCAATTTTTTCATCAACCTTCAACAATGTTACCGAGTCACTTTAAAGATGGACTAACTTTAAATCATAAAAACTATATCATATAAAAATCATATAAATCATATAAAAAATAATACCTTTGGCATTGTGAAGTCATAGACGGTCTTCCTAAAGAACTCAGTAGTCTTTTGATCTTGCGACTCGGGTTTGGGAAGGTCTGTCTGGGTGTCCTTAGACTTTTGGGTCTGGAGTTGATTTAAAAGATAAAAAGGCAGTCAAGATCATAAAACTTGTTATCAATAACAAATGCTAAATATCTGTGACAAATTTGCTCTCAGCCAATCAAATGCCACGATTTTCGTAGCTTATAATAGTTATTGTAATTTCTTATTGATTACAAGTTTTATGAAACAGGGCCTTGTTTCTATTTCACCTGTTTTCGAAATGATTATCATTGGCCAAGCCTTTCCCTCTATAGCTTTGTATTCACACTCTATTTCCTGATATGATTTCATTTCTTTCTCATGCTCTCTCTCTTTCTCACTCTCTCTTTCTCTCTCTATCTCTCCCTTTCTCTATCTCCCCCTCTCTCTTTCTTTCTTCTAGCTGTCTCTTCATCTCTCTCTCTCTCTCTCTCTTTCTCTCTATCAAAAATTCGTTCACGGAGCTTTTGATTTTATATTTTTGATATCATCCTGAAAAAAATTGATTTATTTGATGTTATTATGTACCTCAAGGTTTGTCTCAAGTTCTTGTTTCTGTTTCTGCAAGATGGCGATTTCTTTCTCCAGCTCCAAGATCTGATTGTCTTTCTTGGACTCGCTGGTTTGTAGTTTCTATTTAGCACAAAGATAAAAGAACATGTAAGTCATGGAGTTTTTAAAGTCATTTGAATTTTGATGGATCACCATTATTGTAATAATGCCTTGTCTTGTTTTGTTTTTGTTTTTTAAATTATTATTTGCCAAAGTTATGTTCACGCATTATCGTTATGACTATGATTATCATTATCAAATGTCTGCATGATTTAATGTTTTTTTTTAATTAATAGTAGTTTCATTATCGTTAACACTATACAAGTCAATTGCTTCAATGTCTTGTTGCCTTATTTGCACTGTGTTTATATACATATCAACTTTTACTATGGTTCATTATTTTCAAAGTAAATTATTACACTTGTGTTTGAAATGAAATGATATAAGTGTTATACCTTTAGATCTACAATCGCGTCATCCTTCTGAACTTTCAGCTCACCAAGTTCCTGTTTTAGAGACAAGACTTGAGCGCTTGCCTGAACTTCAGCTGTTCGTAGGCTCTGAAACAGAATATGACATTATAAATCTTTAGAACGTTTTTTTCAAATTAAACAGAATCTTGTTCTCAGTTTAAACTTTTAAAAAAGAACGACCCCTTAGGGTTAGGAATGTAACAAAATGGTATTACCTCAAGTTCTGATTCTTTATAACGTTTTGTTCAAAATAAATAGAATCTTATTCTCAGGTTAAACTTTTGATATAGAATGAATCCTTGGGAATGTAGTAAAATGGTATTACCTCAAGATCTGATTCCAGTTCCTTCTTCTGTTGTTCCCAATCGACAGCAGCGTTGTCCTTAGCATTAGGCCTATCTAAGTCCTGCGGGTTAGCAGAGTAATGTATACTGTATATAATATAATAATAATCATGATACTTATCCGATAACTAAGGTATGCTTACTGCAAACAATAATTTCACTTTACAAACTGGATCAAGTTCGGCTATCATGTGAAAAAAATGTATGTGATTATTATTCTGAATTGCACATTATTTTTGACATCAGTCATGTTCCAATTTCATAGAAAAAACAAATTGTTGATTGCGGCAGTATTGTCTTGGTGACTCATGGTTGTATACACTCATACCTTGATCTGTAGATTGAGAAACTGGTTGAGTTGTTTGGTGTCATCCAGCTCTGATTGAAGGTTAGAAACAACCTCTCCGGCTTCCTCGTAACGCTGAAGCAAATCCTGAAGAAAATAAGATTTAGATAACGTTAGAATAATTTAATTGAGGTTTAATCATACATTATTCGGCTTCATTCAATCACTTAGATTCAATATCACTATTTATAAGTCAACAGAGTGCAAAGACTTTATCAAACATTCAAATAAGTTTCATGAGAAGTAGTTTAAAGCATTTAAAGATGAATTCTTAGTCCCTTTATGTTATCTTTATGAATAGAAGCATATTTTTCATATAGATGTAACTCCCTCATTTTAAATTTTTTCGAAGGGTTCCCTGGTTAATGTGCATATGGAATGCTGTTGTTTATTACTATTAGGGTTTCGTTTTCATTGCTCCTATTGAAGATTTTCTTCATAATATCCACCCTTGACCTCCCTTTTCTTTTTAGATGGCTCTGTTTTTTGTTGGCTTATTTGTGGGTGTGTTTTTTTTCTTACTTGTTTGTTTGTTTGTTTGTTGATGTGTTTTTTCCACAAATAATCAACCTACCTCAATCTCAAGCGTCTTTCTGCCATTGCCAATTTGAAGATCACTGATCTTGTGCTCCAGGTCGTTGACAAGTTTGGCGGCTGACTTGCGCTCTTCTTGGGTTTGCTATGAAGTTGAAGATAAAATTTCACAAATCACGTCAAATTTGAACAGAAAGGAGGTAAAGCCACTAAGTACAGATGGTTCTGACACAAAGTGATGGAATCCTCTATATGACATTAAAACTGCTCAGTTATATCATGCTTTTTATATTGCTCTTAATGTTTATTTTGTTTAAGACTACCACAGTTTATTTGCATGTTGGTTTTTGTTTGTTTGATAATATATTAATTATAAATTATGTATTACCTTCCGGTCAAGGTCCAGATAGTTGTTCCTGGTCTTGAGATCGTCCAGTTCATTCTCGAGTTCGACGATGCGATCGGTCTTCGTCCTCTCGAGATCTTGGACATTCTATCAAAGAAAATCAAGTCCCGAAAGTTACTTTCTATAATCCATCAATTTTAAAAGACATTGCATGTTTTACAAATAAAATTACATTGTAGACACACACAAACATTGAATCCCTGCTGTCGAATGATTTATTATTTTTTTGCTACATTTTTAGTTTTCATCATTATCATCACCTTGATCTCTTCCTTCTTGACCTTGACCATGTCATTGAGATTGATGACGTCATTCTTCATAGATGTGAAGGTGCTTTTCATCTCAGTGACTATGGTCGAGATGGGGGAGTTAGATGTGTCCACGTCCATTGCTCGAGCCAGATCCTGTCCAAAAAAGAGATGATTTTGTTTAAAACCGTTTATATTTCTTACATTCATCCGTTTGAATAATATTTTACCAAACAACCCTGTTAACATAATATTTTGAGACAAGTATCTCCTAAAAGTGATTATCTTTTTACAAAAATATTGATTTGTAACATGTATTTCTCAAATTATAGTAATATTTGTATTCAACAGTCACTTCGATCAAAGTATGTGTTAATTTATTTCTTTTGTTCTTTTTTCTGTCTTTTATGTTTAATTCTTCAAATCGAATTCCGTCTTGATATTATTTAAAAACAATTAACCTCATGGCTTAGTTAGGATGCCATTAAAAGACAGGAATATTCATCAATTTTTAGTTTTTATCTTACCAGGATAGACTCTTCTAGGTCAGCTTTGGAGTCTTTCTTTGGAAGAGAGTGGCCATTCTCTTTCAGTTCCTATAACACAATAACAGAAAATCATGATCAAGGATTCATAAAAGAATGATTATTATCAAAATTGTAAAAAATTGAAAACAAAACAAAATTAAATTAATTGTACAATAAAAAAATAAAATAAATTATTTAGAAAAATAAAATAAATTATTTAGAAAAATAAATAAAAACAGAAACGCAAAAGTTAGGCTAATGTTACAAAAAAAAAGTTTCCTTTCTTCAAGGTACTTCAGCTGACTGAACCATATCGTAATTTTAAAATCTGTACGTCATGCTCACAGAATGTGATTGTCTTTTTCTTAATTTTACTATTTGATCATATTTTTTCTTACACATATTAGCATTTTGCACTTGGAATTAAATTCTAGTTGATTTCTGGAAATCAACTACAGAAGGTCTTAAATGCTTGAAACAGGATGGATATCAGGAGCACACATCTAATATCTGACATGTTCAATTTCTCACTTATTCCTTAATTTTTACCTGGATGGTGTTGTTGAGCTTTGAGATGACGTGGCGCTGTCGGCTCCATGTGGAGCTGAAATAGCTAGCTAGGCCAGCAGGAGCATGGTGACCGGATACTCCAGCGATCTCTTTGCAGGTCTTCAAGAGTGCCTCATTACCCTAAAATCAAAGATGAAAACATTATTATCAGAGCAACTTTGAAATGACATGAACATTTTGTTGGATGGAAATCAGAACTTGAAAGATATCTGTTACTTTCAAATAACTGAGCATATTCTAGCGATCTCTTTGCATGTCTTCTATCCTCGTTACCCTAAAATCAAAGATGAAAAAAAATATTATCAGGGCAACTTTGAAATTACATGAAAATTTTGTTGGATTGAAATCAGAACTTGAAAGATATTTGTTACTTGCAAATAAACTGTGCATATTCTTATGAGAATAGAAGATTATAATTTGATTAAGCTAAAAAAAAAACATTTTTGGACCAACCCATATATCATTGCTCTTTCATGAAAGCCGATATGGTGAATCGTATCCCAATCTCCACAAGGAATTAATGTTTGAAACTTCGATCGGTTTTAACTACTAGCAATGCTTTTCATGAATAAGTTTACATCTACCTGAGATTAATATTTATTTTACGCATTTTTAATATCGCATTGCTTCGGAACAAGAAAAGAGATTTTCAATTTTAGAAACAATTTAAGCCTACCTTAATTGATGACTGCATAAAGCATGAATTAAAGATCATTATGTATTTTTTAGCTCCAATTTACCTTGATGGTTTTCTCAAGGTAAGCGGTTTGCTCTTTGGAAGTTCTGATGTACTTTTTGAAGGCTCGTGCAGTTCTGACCGCATTGACCTCGGAACCAAGGTTGAGCTCCTCTTGTACGTCAAACAAGAGAACATCATGGTCCTAGAATAGAGAGAAATTTGAATAGAGTTGGATAGGAATAAGACAGCTTTTATTATGATGGTAATGTAAAACTAGATACGCATACTAAAATTATTAAATATAACAATTTCGAGCTTTTTTCCTACTTAATGGTGCTATTGGAACAGCGAGTGGGGAACTTTGTTCCCCTAAAGGTAATGCCAGTGGCAAATCAATCTGAAAATTACTTAAATGATGAGTGAATAGATTATAATCACACAATCATCTCAGTAAGAATATAGTTTCATTCATGTTTTCTGCGAAGCGGACGGTGTGGTTTTAAAGAAATGTGATTTTGTGTGTATGCAAATGAATGCACAGACTGTAAAACTGAAAATACAAATTTCTTTCAAGTTTATAACTTGAACCTTTCAAATAAAAAGCTCAATTTGTACTTACCTTAAGATGTTCTGTCATCCTCTTGATCTTGTTGTCTGTGTGGGACATCTTTAGTCTCAATTTACAGACCGTTTCTGCCGGGGTGGTCGTAGGCGCAAGATCAAAAGATTCTTGAAGGAATTTCAGCAAAAGTTGCACGCTCTGCCAGAGGTAAGTATAGGGCAACATCGATAATGTTTAATGTCTGTGTCTTTGATTTTGATTCTAACCCTATCGAAATGTGATACAAATTGATGACATGGTATCCCCTGAGCCATCATCATCATTTTATCTTGATCATAATCGGTTCAGTTCAAATGAATGGATCATCATCATCATCGTCATCAAAAGATTTTAATATTGTCACAAATATTTAAATGACCAGTAGTAATATGTGCATTTAAACGAATATTTTGCGTGTGTGGGGTATTAATAAACATCGTGTAAATCAATTTAAGTTCTGTTGAATATAATCTCGCTTGCCTTTCGTGGCCATATACTAGCCGTCATCATCATGCCCTTTCCCCCGTTCTCCCTTTCTCTCTCTCTCTCTCTCTCTCAAACAAGTTCTCATATATTGTCAATTTCACTTACTTCGCCGCGGATTTTCTGTACTTTGAATGAATCTGCGGGTCGTGCACCAAGCTGTTCCTTCATGTGGGGTAAGATGGTATCACCCAACTTCCTCAGTCTACTTGGTAGAAGAGGAAGGTTTTTCTTCTGCTTTACTGTGACACTCATTCTGAAACAAACAAAAATATCAACAGATTTAATAAAGTAGCAGTGATAACATTATTGTGAAACATTCATTTTAAAGTAGGCGTAATAATTAAGTGCACGTAATAGAAAGAGAAAAATTCAACGGAACTTAGGGTCCACATATTTTCATCTGAAAAGTGTAAAAAAAACAAGGTAAATGATTTCAGCTTACCTGCAATGTCACGTAGGTTGCTTTCCGTTCGCTAAATATCAATGATTTATAACATTAACGTATAAAACGTCAATATTATTGCAAAGTTTCGATAAGGTGCGGCTAATCGTGTTCGATAGTGTGCTGTATCAAATCATTGTGAAGTTTGGTTGCTAAGACGAATGCGTAACACAGGTAGAATTTCGGCTTGATCGTGACGTAACAATAAACTTTGGTCCAATGAGAGCGCGTAAACCCTCTACGCATGCGTACTAAAGGAGCAACTTTCGGTTGATCATGACGTAACAATAAACTTTGGTCCAATGAGAGCGCGTAAACCCTCTACGCATGCGCACTAAAGGAGCAACTTTCGGATTGATCATGACGTAATAATAACTTTAGCCCAATGAGAGTGCGCCTACACACCTGCGCATGTGCAGCAGGTTAAGCAACTTCAGCTTGATCGTGACGTAACAATACAAGTTGGTCCAATGAAAGCACACATAAGTCAAGGCCTGCCAAAAACGTCCGTGCGCCTGTGTACACAAATACTTGCCTAGGAGGCTCGACGTAATTTTTCAATCACTTTGGCCTCTCTCTAGGTTTGAATGTTCCTTTTAGCATGCTTTCTATTGTTATATTTAATAAATAAAGTATGTGACAATAAAACTAATATGAGTAGTATACTTTTCATATCAATTTTATATCCATTGTATAACTTAAGGTGATAATAAACACTAGAAATAAAAGAACATCGCCGCATGCCAAACCTCGGACGTATTCTTTGTTTAAAGGAAATGAAGGAAAAACGGTTAAGGGAAAATGAAGTAAAAAATAAAGTCAGAATGAATGAGACAGACCCTTGTAAAAACTTATATTGATATTAACTTTAGCACAATTAAAAGCCTCCACTTTTGATAAATTTTGTCATGTTCATAAAAACTAAGTTGCTTATAATTTTGCAGTTTCAAATATTTCATTGTACTGGGGTCCCGTTTCCATTATATCAATTTTCTAAAGATAACCTTCTAAAGATAATCTATTTCATACGGGCATTATGGTGTTAGTGTATTGACAAATTGAATTATCATCCGTCATTTTACCTCCCCCCCCCCCTGAAAAAAAAAGTAACCTGGAATGAATGCTATTCTATGTATTTTGTTGAAGATAAATAATTAAGCGATTGCTATGTCAGCAATTATTTATTTTTTTAATCCATATAAAACCATACAAGATATCAAAAGGCCAATACATCGAAGAAAATTAAAAAAATTAAAAAGTACAAAAATCAGCTTCTATCCGCGAAATATCAGGGGAAAATAATTATGATGGAAAGAGAAATAAACAGGGAGGGAAAATTAAGAAAAAAGAGGGGAGAGAAGGGGAGAGGGGGTCTTATCAGAGAGAAAGATGGGAAAATTCGAGAAAAAGAGGGGCTAAAGTTATAATCATTGGTGTTGCTTACAGGCCCAGATATTGAGAGGGGCAATTGAATGGAGGCACACGTTCATTGATAAGGGGGGGGGGGGGGATTGGAGGGGTCCATTCATCTCTATTTCACGTCCCACTCCTAGCCCCTTTATTGTCTCTTTCTATCTCAATCTATCTCACTCTCTCTCTCTCTCTCTCTCTCTGTCTCTCTTTTTCTATCTTTATCTTTATCTATATCCTTCAATCTATATATTTATTTCAATGTCCATGTCTCTCTCTCTCTCTCTCTCTCTCTCTCTCTCTCTGTATTTCACATCCACTCCTCCTCTAGTTCAGGCCTATCTATATCTACCTCTCTCGTTCCTTATCTCTTTATTCTTATATTTAGACCAAATTTCATGCATGTTTCTGTACTTTCTTTATTCATATTTTGTAAAGCGCGTAAAAAAGTTATGTTTTAATGTTCATATTATTATCATTTTTAAAACGATCATACAACCATCATCTATTATAAATTGCGAAATTATTTGACCAGAATTTAACGACACCCTTTGGAAGTTTTTTTTTTCCTCTCTCTCTCTCTCTCTCTCTCTCTCCCCTCTCTCTCTCTCTCTCTCTCTCTCTCTCTCTTTCTCTGAACTTGAGAGGTCTTTCCTGGAAGCATCCGCAAAGGAAGCGCACATATTACTTCTCGGTATTTGAAAACAGTGGCGTAGCGTGGGTTTAGCAAGTGGGGGGTGGGGGGGAATTGCAAATTTGTCGATGATTTGGGCACCAGGGTTAGTACTTGATGGTATACAAGATAACATGGCCATTGAGTGAAGGGATAGTGGAAGTGGTCGTAACTATCATCTTCTTATGACTATAGCATTCCACTTCTCAACTCTCTCTCTCTCTCTCTCTCCCTCTAACTCTCTCTCTCTCTCTCTCTCTCTCTCTCTCTCTCTTTGTTTGCTCTCTCTCTCTCTCTCTTTCTTTCTTTCTTTCTTTCTTTCCTTTTTGCTACATATTTGGAGCCTGTGTCCCCGTGCCCCCTAAATTGTAGCAAAGTTTGACGGATGCTTACAATGATCCTTTGCCTACTTACCATCAATCTATAGAGACACCAAACTACATGTATAATGTTACAGTGAACGTGACTATGACTCATACATGTTTTAGAACAGTTTGGCGTACCATGTATCAAGACAAACAGTAATCTCAATCATCGCCATTTCATGTGTAGGCCTATTTCGTTCAATATGTCATTTCAGAGCTACATTGAAGATTTATTGATACCCCCCGTATCTGATTGCTTTTATGGGTATCTTCTACTCGTATAGCATCTCTCAAAGCATACCCCACCCCGCTAAGCCGCTTCATGGCATGCTGTCCCCACCCCTCCCTTGTCTTTAAATAATTTTTGTTATAACGTTAATAAAATTTGAGGCATATAGGCCTAAATATTAAACTAGATTGTGTGAAGAAAATTTGTTACAAGCTTCTGAAATGCTTGCTTCTGATTGGTTAACAGCAGATTTGTCATCAAATGAAAAGCATCTTGTTTATTGTAGTTGCTTTTGATGTTGATGTTAATGTTGTTGTTTGTTTCATCCAAATAACCCCATAATAAAATGCTATCCCATCAATTATCATGTCAACGGGTTGCTAATCTATACATTAGCGCAGTGGGGTGGCAAAGAGGGTATCCCACTCCCTATTAACACTTTGAATGATAAATGTATTTATGTTTTTGTTCAATTTGTCAGCACATTGTTCGCTTTGCCCCCCCCCCCCAGCTATGCAGATGGCTCATATAAAACTGGCTACATAAGTCATGAGTCTCTGAAAATCCGTCAGGTCGTTTGTAAGTCGTTCATAAGTCATTAAATATGATTTTCTTCTGTGAGTCAATAACCCCTCTGCCCAATGCATTAACGAATTGAGATTGGCATATTGGCACGATGACACTATAGCCTACACGTTTCAGATTAGCACGACCGGGTCAATAGCCGAGATACGCCGTCAACAAACGAATTTCCAGGTAACGATGTGTGCTCAGAAATTAAGTGCATAATGCCCTTTCCAATCTCCATGCACCTTATCGAGTAGCACATAATATTTAATAACCGTATATGTATCGGGTCGAGAAAAAATAAATGTCTGAGAAATAATGTGCCTGAATATTAATGAACAAAATAATTGAGAGTATGTGGCTATGAATGCATCGCTACATCCCCGGAGCTACATCTATTTAAAAAAAATATTTTTAAAAAAAGAATTAAAGAAAACTGTAGGCCTATATACCCTTATATGAGGCAATACTGATAGTTTTTTTTTTGTTGAGATTATTTTCGTGATATATCGAATGATGGTTCACTGTTGTTCCTTATTTGATAAAATATATGAGTTAATTGTGCCAAAAGAGCCCGTACTCACTATGGAAGACAGTCGGAAAGCTATACGGGATGGAAGTAGGCCATAAAAAATGTTGTAGGCCTACATAGGTGAAATAGAAAGAAAAAAAGGGGAAGGGGGGGGGAATGGAGAGAGAGAGAGAGAGAGAGAGAGAGAGAGAGAGAGAGAGACGTAAAAGAATGATAGAAAGGAAATGGGCAATGAAAAAAAGGAAGAAGATGTTACGACCTTTTTCCAAAATTCCTCGATGCCCTTTTATTCTCTCAAATTCCATCCATCTGGTAGGGCCGGTGCCCGTCCCCCGCCCCTTGGCGGTAGTATATTTGGCGGAAGTATATAGGTGTCTTATGTCTTCCTTTTGTACCAAAGCTGGAAAGAAATGTTTAAATACCGACGGACCTTGGGAGAATATGAACGTCAGATGATAATAATATTCATTATGTATATTTATTGCATACTTTTTTTATTTTTTAAATACATGTATGTGAATTTACATTTAAAAAATAGGAAAAGAAAAAAGAACGGTACCGGTACGTGCACTTTATCATTTACCACAACTTATCACGCTTTCTGTCAAGTTGTTGTACAATTCCAAAAACACAGGCTAATAATCAAACAAAATTGATCAAAAGATCTTGGTAGTTCAACAGCTTTTTATTTGAATAATTCTGAGTCAATTTCGATGAACTAGGACCCCTATTGTGTCTTGCAAGAGCTACGTGCAAATCAGAATCGAAGTCGATATTATTCTGGAAACCTCAGTGCTTCGTTGCACGTACGTACGTTCTGGAATATACATTTAGCATACCTAATTGATTATGTGCTCTGATTGGTCGAATATGACCTACCAACAGCGACCTTGCAATTTTCTTCACTCTGATTGGTCAATCCGCTCCTGACAATAGATCTAGCCTCCAAATTAGGATTATATGCAAATTAGAGCACCCTATTGCGCATGTTCGCATACATATCGATTAATGAACGCGATCCCTGGTACAAAATCAGCTGTTTGAGACATTGCTTCACCAGGGCATTGTGAAGGAAAGGCACGGACGGAAAAAATCTGGGTTTTGAGAGCTGTGAGGCTTCTAATATATCGCACCTTCAGTTCGTATCAAAGAACAGATATAAAATAGATCTTGGGGAATTATCTGAGCCACTCTGTTCAGTATTCTGACAGACAGAACTCCATATTATCGCCTTGAATTGATCGGAACTGTACTCTGTACCAGCCGCCTACACTACGGCTGTACAAAGTGAGTGAGCAGATCGGACTCGCTTCAAGTTACAGAAATTCCATCCAAGTTTCAACGATTATTTAGGCAATATGTTGGACGTTCAGGACTTTCCCCGACTACATCTATCTAGAAATATCATCGAAAGTGTCCGGAACAACATAAATGTCATAGGTAAGTTTTCAATCAACCATCTTAACCGTTGTTTGGGTTGCTTGTGGAAATATAATTCAGTGACTTTGTGCATGTGAGCGCCACGGTAGTCCCTTCTCTGACTCACGGCCGCGCCGATCAGCTGGTTGGGTTTATGTCCATTGTCTGGTGGTTGTTCGTACAATGGTGACGAATCGTCTCCTGCGGAGCTGTGTATTGCACGATGGACAGACAATTCATTGTCCGTCTCTGGCTGTGCAAAATTCTGACTTTTCAGTGGTGTACGGTTATTGAGAGTTTAAAATATTGGTTTGTCAATCACTTATTGATGTAGACCTAGACTACATTTCTTACTGTAGTCTAGAGTCGACCTAGACTATCTCAATTTACATTTCTTCAGCTTTTACTAGTTTTACTCTTTTTAAATAAAAGCAAATTTGTACGTTTATTCTCAAACGTCGACAAATATTGAGATCATCAGCAGATCAGTCATGTTCTTAATCATCCTCAAAGGTTAATGCTACTTAAAGTTACCAAGTTGACAAATAATTCCATTCACTTTCCTTATTTTCTGAATATCAGGAATGAAGGAGAGTTCATCATTTCCAAAAGATTGAAACATTTGCTGGAGTACAAGTGTATGGCCTAGGCCTATGGGATATCCAATAGCAATACTTCCGATAGGCCAATTATTCATGCTAATTTGTATTTGTCTAGACAGTCAAATCTGGTGGGTATACAGGTACATGATGTAAGTAATTAATGGCATTCTGCAATCGATTTCACAGGATTAAATGAGAAAAGCCTAAGTAAAGGATCTTAAGGAAATTCTGGTGTGAAAGATGAGACTTTTTCTTAATAATTGATAGAGAGCTCTGGAAAAAAAAACATATCCCCCAAAAGGGTCTGTGAACAGACAGGTATTTTCTTCACTGCTCCTTTATAGTGACTCTCGCTGCAACCTTTATTTTTGTGTTAACACACAACTCCCAAAATCTGAGACCCTACCTCCACCCTCAAAAAATAATAATGATCATGGTATGCGAAGTATACAGACCGAGACAGTAAAATACATCTACTTGGAGGACTTTTTTTTGTAACATACAGTACATGTACACTGTACTTTTGTCTATTGATGCTCTCCTTAAAGACAGAATTGGTCTCAGCTGAACATGCCCCTGAATAAAATAGACTGACTTTTTGGTTGAACACAGACATTCAAAGAACTTCATGGGGAGTTCTACCAAAACTACATTCCTGTTGAACAGCTGGGCAAACCCCAGGTTTATAGATTTTGGAAGTTGACAATGATATAGCACAATTCACACTAACAAAAATCCTGTTGAACAGCTGGGCAAACCCCAGGTTTATAGATTTTGGAAGTTGACAATGATATAGCACAATTCACACTAACAAAAAAAGATGGATTTTATATATTGAGAGCTGTACTGGATCCAGTATGTGCTTGCGAAGTGTTTGACCAAAGAGATATTGGTTTGACAGGCACTCGATAAGAAAATCTCATGTGATTGAGCAGTCACGTTACACATGGTAAAGCCACATGGAAAGTTCTACACCATGTACTTGAAATCCAGGGAGTTCCCTTAGCATTGAACTTTACCCCAGGTTCTATTTGCTCAAGCGCACCTTCCATTGTATTTTCTACGTGGCATTTTGCCATTGCCTTTCAGTGTTACTCAAGCGGGATCCCTTTTGGTGGCTTTTCTATTTTTAGGATTATCAGTCAGTAATGAGCATTAAGAGTTTCATTTTAGATGCATGTACATGCACTGTATGTAGGATTATTTCTAGTCATTTGCATGTGGGGGTGTGCTTTTGATATTCAGTCGACCGTCTCTTTTATATCAAACTTCCATTGTGCTTAATCTCACATATCTTCAAAGGTTAAAAAGCGTGGGCTCATAATTATATTTCTATGTGAGTACTCTATTTTGGGCTCAACTTGTTTTTTTCATCTGTTCATGTGATCTATTAAAGTGAAATAGATAATGGATGTGTCATAATTGCAGAGGGTTGACTACTCTATAATCGTGTCACATATGACATTCTTATTTGGTGTAGTCATTAGAGTTAATTTTGTTGCAAATTTAGTGGCACTCCCCCACTCCCTCTCCCCCCAAAAACCTAAAGAGAAAAATACAATGTGCAAAATAAATTGTGCATTTAAGGGAAGATATAAATTAATTAAGTTTGTGTGTACTTGATCCTTCAGCGGTGTCACCAAAGAAAATGTCTAATACTGTCCTTTGATATAGAGATTAGAGAGATACATGGACAGGTCTTTGGATACTGTTCTGTGAATGCCAATTTTGTTCAGTGGAAAACCTAGATTTATTTGCTAGTCAGCTGTGTGCTGTTCACAAGGGATCCCAGGGAATTTCCTCGCTAAATTGACCCCTTCCTGTTCCAGCCTTCTTCCCCCCTACACATGAATTATTTATCAGCGTGCCCTGGTAAAGGCTCCTCTCTGCATAGTAACTGTGCCACTCTGCAGGGAGTGAAGTGCGATTGGCTAGACTGCATTGGCATATTCATACTTGTTAATTGAGGAGCATGTACATCATGAATATGTACAACTTTCTGTTCCAGCCCCCTTTTCCCCCTACACCTGAATTATTTATCAGCGTGCCCTGGTAAAGGCTCTTCTCTGCATAGTAACTGTGCCACTCTGCAGGGAGTAAAGTGTGATTGGCTAGACTGCAACGTGAATATTCATATTTGCTATGAGAGGAGCTCGTACATCATGAATATATAGTACAACTTTCTGTGCCCTGTATCCAGGGTCTCATATATTTTTTTGCCAAGGGTGCTTGAGGAGTTATATTTCTCATGGAGGAATCAATGCCTTATGTTTCACAATTGAATTCAAGTGCTTACATTCAATTTTCTGGCTGGTTATAATGTATCTGTAGTCAAGTTTTAGTTGAGAATCAATAATAATAATAATAATAACATTGGATATTTATATAGCGCACATATCCACCCTGCAGGGTGCTCAAAGGCTAAGCACTCCAATATTTCCCCTGCTCTGCTATGTATTCTTTTCAGGCAGTAGGTATCTACTGTGTTTTCCTTTTAATGATGTAAATACATCTAAAAACATGCTAACTATTTAAACGTATTGCAGGTTTTCCTCTGTCTTGCCATACTCTGTGACTCTAGTTTGAATCAAGAATCAATTTACATGTATATGTAGGTAACTACTTACAAAAATTATTTCATCATGCTGAGACTTGTTTTTATCGGAGCTCCACAATAACATTTGTATTGCATCCAGTTGCTTTATTTACTATAGTCAGAAGAACTGAATGGTTTGCTGGGTAATCCTGTAATTGGAAAGAGTAAGAGCACCTTTGTGTAGAACCAGATGTAAACTGTGCATAACAGTACCCTTATCTTTGCATATACAATGGCCTTTATTGACACCCCTTCCCCTGCCACTCTACTCCAGCTTTGCATGTACAAACCACAATGGATTCATCATACAAAAGGATTAGTTATCCTTCCCGGTAGCTTATTTTCAGACTTTTCATTTTAGTGTGCGCCAATGTTTCCATTTTATATGATATTATATTATGAATGCTAGCTTACATGTGGAGTGCATTTATGATTTTTAAGCATGAGAACCTCCATACAGACTCAACTGGCAATAATTGATCTCTTATTCCTTGAGAAAGATTTGAACCCTTCACACTAGAAGAAAAAAAACATGCCTTGAACATCCCTGGTAACCTTGGCATGACTTTCAGTACCTGGGAGACCCTCTGAAACTTAATCCCTTGTCTGGTCCAGAGTAAGCTTGATCTTAAGTGGTCAAAGTCACCTTCACACATGCTACTACAGTGTACGTACTGTACATGTGATGCACATGTGTGTGGGTGGTCAGTGTCATGGTCATCCACATGAAGGAAATGTCCAGTATCCTTGACCAGTCACCAGATTAAGTGCATCTACATGTAGTCATCTTGACTTTTGATGTTGACCCTTGAATGTCACCTTCATAATCAATTCAAGATTTTCTAGTTCTTCTCCCCTGTCCTTACCTTACCTTACCTACTTATGTCTTTTGGCAAGACATTGATCTACATTTGCCACACTTAACCCAGGTGAGGTACATGTAAATGAGTACCTGGTAGGATTATTCCTTGAAATGCACTGTGCACTGGTAACGACTGCCGGAGCTAAAGTTAAAGGTAATAATTTCCAAAGCTCTTTGGAAGCGCATAGAGATGTTATATCATAACGTATTATGCGCTATACAAGAACTGCACTAGTGTTATTATGAAATGTTCTTATGTAAATTTTGTAAATAATATTGTATGTGCATGTATAGGCCTATTAATTGTAAAACTAAATATATTTTGCCCTTTTTTTATCTCCATGTGCAGATGGTCGTGGTCTTGATCATTGTGGGAACCATGAGGACGGTGACCAGGACACTAAGATGGCTCAGTTTGTTTCGCACCTCATCTTCCACACACTGAGGAAGGCCAAGGACAAGTACTTCAATGGCAAGCTTCTCATCCCCAGCAACCTCCCGGATCATGTGGCACGCGACGTCCTCCTCATGGCACGAGAAGAACCCTGCGGGGTGCGCGGATGCTCCTTGGACATTGTATACGAAGATGGAGAATCGTGCAGGAGATTGGGAAGGGTCGCTGTCGACCCTGACACAGTAACGACTTTTGAAATCACCGTTGTGGTAGGGAGGGTATCGCCGAAATGGTTCTTGACGAAAATGCAGTCGGTTTTAAGGAACTCTGTCGAGCAGACCGTCTTGAAATCAAGTTACAAGCTTGTGAAGAATAAACTCTACAGACGGAACGGAAGCGTATGTATCAAGGAAGGATCATAAAAACTGTCAAGCAAGGACTCTTTTTTACTTTTTTTACATTATAAGCGAACTTTGTGGTTATTGCAATAAACTTTCTACACTGAGCAACGTGAGGTTATGAACTAGATCTGCAGATTTTCTTCCGCATATCTCTTATCCCTGATTCCTTTTATAAAGTCTTCAATTTCTTTTCAGATTGTTTACACGTACATGCATGTCCACTGCAATATTCTTAGTTATGAAGAACTCTCATCGATTTTGTTTGTCTACTACCAGTATTTTGTTCTTAAGGAGCACAATTAAAAGTCATTGTGCTAGCCTCGTGCAAACAATAGCCATAGGTTTTCTTTACTGTGCTGCTTAAGGTTTTCTAGTCTACTGATGTAATTGCGTTGCATTGGTGCTTTGTCTGAAATTTCTTATACCATTCCATTTTATATAAATGTACCATGTGCATATATATGGTGCAGGTTAATAAATGCCGCTTTTCTTTCTTGTGTTACACAATGGTAGCAATGAAAGCATAGATACAAATTTTTTGTTCTCATCTTTTTTTTTCTTGTGTATTCAGTATCCATAAAGTCTGCATCAATCTGATCTGTATTCACAGAGTGGCACCGTTGAGCGGTGCAAATAGGCAGTATATTAATATGCCACAGCTGATGTACAATTTTTGATGCTTCTTGTATTTGGTAAACTTGTTTTCCTTGTAAAATGTTAATCTCTGAGTATTGATATACTGCCATGAGCAAGTAATACATCATTAACAAGAGATCAAATCAAACTGCCAATTCATGTGATATTTATAATAAAATTTCAATATGAGGGGCGGTGCTTAGGAGGAAAAAAAGTGTCACAAGAAATGTGTAGCCTGTTGTGGTGCATACAGTGATAAATAATTATAAGTAAAAATGATTTGATGATTTGGCATGCTGAATGCATGCATTCAGTATGCGTTACATCATATATGGTTTCCAAAGGGGATTGCTTAGTACACGTAAAAGGTTCTTGATCAGGGTAACGTTTTGTTCTTTTTTAATAATTTTTTTAGTAGAGTTAAAGCTGTTCTGAAATGCTATTCATTCACCAGAAATATGTATTACTATGAAAGCATCATTTATCTTATGACCATTCTTTGTACATGTGCATTTTGTAGGCCTGAGCTCATTGAATAATTCTCTGAATACTACTTAAAGTGCATGGAAATGTTTTCATCTGTCAAGCCTGCATTACTTGAAACTTGATGGTTCAGTGGCCTACAAGTTAAAGTTCTTGAGACACAGGGTTTAGTTTAGCCAGTTAAACCTCGTTTCAAATAATGCAGGTCTAGTAAAGGCTAATAGGTTTAAGAAATGTTTTGTTTGTTGAGAAGCAGAATGGCATAAACTCATGTAGTTCAACAGTGTCATTCTAACTCTCAACAGATACATGTAGTATTATTTGATAAGGGAGTAGTTTATGTCCAAGCTTACATTGTGCACCCAATGACACATGTAGATATGTAGCTTTTTTAAATCATATTTTCTAGGAGTTTACTTTCGCTTCCTTTTGTTTTTTCATCTCTAAAATGTTACTTTTGTAGAATAGATGTATCATCTTGGGCTGGTATCTGAGATGTACTTAAAAATAGAAAAAAATTGTTTACAAAAAAAAATGAAACCCTCTAAATTCTTTACTTAAAAACATTTAACTACGTTTATTCATTTGACGTTTTTTTTATTATTATTAATATTAGTCTGGCAAACATGGTAGCCGTTACAAAAACCGATCATGTATCAGACTTTTTTGTTGTTGCAAATTCAGTGAAAACACATTTTGCAATTATGTTTAGTTGGTGAGTAGAGCTACAAAAATGTAGGGAGCTGACGCAATTACGAAACTGCATGATGCCGTAATAATTGCAACCAGTATCTAATTATAGCAAAGTAATTTCTTTACACAGGAAATATATTTGTCTGTGGTTTTCAATTCAGATCTGAAGCATGAACTTTTGTGGTTACATGTGTTTCCTTTAGCTTGCTACAGCTGTGCTAGTGTTCCGAATTTTTCACTTCCGTTTCCTTTTTGGGGATATTTCCCTCATTTTTGTTCTATTTTTTTTTTGGGGGGGGGGGGGGGCAGGGCGTATAGGGGTCAGTGATTTTCATTCACTTTCAGCTGAATAATTGCATTATATCATCCAGATAGAAAGTAGATGTAGTCTTAATTAAAGTTTTGTTTATACTTTACCGGTATTTCTTTTTAATTAGTGTTTAATCGACCTGTCTAAATGTGACTCTTGTTGTTCTGAAATATACACCTTTCTCCTGGATAATTCTAACCCAATTTTATATTTTCTACTTTGTTTGTACAGGACATGATTTTATTATGTTCACATTCACAAATTATAACAACTGGATCTTAGTTACTACCAATTTATGTGAACGTTCAGTATGTTTTCATGTGAAAAATATGCAATAAAATATGTGAAGAAATTTAAAAACTAAAAAACCATGACTCGTACAGATTTGTTTCCCTAAATCTATATTATATGAGAGTATCAAATGTTGCGAAGAGAAGGAGAGGTATAGTGGAGAGGGTGTGAGTGAGATGAGAATTTAGAGAGAGAGAGGGGGGGGGGGCAGAGAAGTTACCTAGCGGCGGAGATTGTGTCTTTGCTATGAGAAAGAGAAAAAAATAATTTTAAAATGAAAGGTAATTCTAAGAAGTTGAAGAAAGAATGAATGGAGTATTTATTTTAAATCCCAGTGAGTCAGTGAAGAAGTAAATCATAATTCAACTGAGTGAAAAGGTGACGTTAATAATAATTACATATTTATATGCCTGTTAGGTGTTAAGTAATTAGTTCCATTTGAAAGGTACACTGCACATTCTTTACGTAACGACTTTACACAACAGCTAGGTGGTTCACTCCTTACACAAGGTTTGTGTTAAGTTGTGTAAAAAATAAGCCCTTGTGTAATTTTTTATTGACACAACTTATCACAACCCTTGTGTAAGGAGTGGACCACCCTACTGTTGTGTAAAGTCGTTACATAACGAATTTTGAGTGTAGAAACACATAACCAGTTTCGATGCGGAATACAAAATAAAATCGACTGAGTTTTTCATGATATTAAATTTGGATCAATAATTTTCTCATAAACTCATGAATTGAGGCGTTCATATGTCGATTTCTCTGAAAGTAAATTTCTGAGGTGATATCATTAAAGCGGATATGTACAGTGTCAGAATGATTTACCTCGTAGCCTCTCACCACAATTTCCCTTTTCTTAGGAGTATAATTTCACGGTCATGTGACAAACACGTGATAATCTCCATCCTGTACGTAGGCTTGTCAGAAATATGGAGGATCTCTTTCAGCGGTGCATAGGTATATTATTTTAGTTGAAGAAAGAAAAGGTTAAAACAAGAAGAAAATAAGAAAACACAAAATAAGAGCCTGAGAAAAAGAATGAAAGATTTAAAGAAATATGAAAGAATGGTTGCCTCAGCATACATTTACATGTAGGCCTACGTAAATCAGGGGGGATTTAGTATTTTGTAAAAGGGCGGCGGCACAATTAAAAACGGTTATCTGATAAATTACGGGTTATCACATTTTCAGGTCCCTTTTGGACTTAAATTGAATTTTCATATCCCACTCTGGCCGACTATAGTGAACCGAAAGAAAAAATTCTAAAAATTATGTGACTATACAATGTATATGGCTATTTAGAGATTCTTACAGATTGTATGACTAAGAAATTTTAGAAACGGTTGTGAAAGAAGCTTGGATTTCTCTTGAGCACCGTTTACAATTGCATGACCGAAAAAAAACTCGAGTTACGTATTCACGGTTATGATAAACTTGTGTAACTTTTTTAAAAGCTTTCTGATCATTCATTCTTTCCCCTCTTCTTTACATAAATTATGCTTACCTTTAAGGTTACGTGGCTACACTTGCCTGGATAACAAGGGTAACAGAAACCAACACCATACCCTGGACATCACACCGGCTATCTGTCAAGTTTAGTGGCGTGGCGAGCGACTAGGGGCACTTATGTCAAAGGGGGAGGGGGCGTCTTACGAGTTGGATGATCTAGGAGCGCAAACAGTCATAGTGTAACCAAAATATCCTGGAGATCACAACCCCTCCTCCATCTCTCTCTCTCTCTCTCTCTCTCTCTCACTCTCCTTCTTTCTCTCTCTCTCCTTCTCTCTCTCTCTCTCTCTCTCTCTCTCTCTCTCTCTCTCTCCCTCTTGTTCTCTTTCTCTCTTTTTGTTAGTGGTCATTTGACATTCGATTAAGGGCACATGCCCCTTACGTGCGCCCCACCGATCAGGTATAAATCAAACATGTAAGGTCCTATCATGCACATCGGGGTGATCCGTTTTCACGTTTCCAATCTTAACCCAATTTCAACGACCCCTCTGATGTACAAACTGACGTCAAGGAAACGCACGTGATCGCACCAGGCAGGCAGGGGTTGGCACGGGACAGGATTTGCCCGCACCCCCCCCCCCCCCCCCCCCCCGCCCATGCACCCTTTTCCCTGAAATTCAATTTTAATATTGATCCGTCGATTTCCAGCAGTAATTTCAAACACATGCATCCTTAAAATAGGAATGGAGGAAATATTGGCAGAAGCAAAAGTTGTTTAGGAGAAATATTTTTCGAAAAAACGGGAAAGCACTCCCTTAATTTTTTCCATGAACGGCATCTTCTTCTACTTCTTCTTCTTCTTCTTCTTCTTCTTCTTCTTCTTCTTCTTCTTCTTCTTCTTCAACTTCTCCTCATATTTTCTTAATGCCTCGTTTGCCTCAACTTTTATTATGTTTTATCTGAGTAATTTCTCAACCGTAGCTTTTACCCTCTTTGTCAAAGACATACGAAAGTCAAACTCATGACAAATCATAATCTCATACGTCACAATCATGTTCACATAAGGAAGAGGGCACGCGGGGGTCATCTTACTAGCCAATACTACGTGAATAAAATGGAAGCAAATGTGCCTGGACATCGATCGGCGTACGATTATTGGAGGGTCCCAACATCATGATCAGGATCCCTATGTAAAGTTGATCTTTTTTTTAAATTTTTATCTAAAAGATATATTGATTCTTTTTTCAGAAACAATAGAATATCGATGTAAATATTCCGATTGCAATTAAATTAGACTTGAATGATTTTTATTATTTATCATTTAAAATGTTTCTATTTTGATTGGAGGATAATTTCTTCCAGTCGTATCTGCATGCTTCGAAAGCCATCTTAATAAAGAAAATAATATGACATAATAATTGTATAATTATTGTAAAGCGTACGCATTTAAGCGTGGTTGAACCACTGCCTGCCCCTGACCACTTTAAAACCAAAACCTTCATACCTAAAGTAGTCACTAAAAGAAATGTAAATGCGCCCCTCCCATCTCCGAATTTTAGACCTATAGAAGGCACCTGCAAACATGGCAACCCCTTTTTTCTCCATTGTCGGACCTCTTTCGAACTTGCCTCGGATTTGCCCGCCCCTTCAGAATCCTGTGATCTGCCCCTGTCCAGGTCTGCCCATAAAAAATCGAACCATGCTGTGAACTTCTCGTTTCCTCGCTTAATCTTTGAACTTTACTTAGTCCATACAATCATGACAATGTAAGTGACCCTGGTGTTTTAATGTGTATGCTAATCGGACATTTTTGTTTGTATTCATGTACGTATGTGTAAATACTCTCCTATAAAACAAAACCTATATAATTATGGTGGTAAGTGTTTGGTGACAATCTCTTCTCCACTCTTCTTTAAATAAATGATGTTTACCTTTAAGGAAACGTGGATATCCTTGCCTGTTTGAAAAAGTTAACAGAAACTAACCTCATACCCTGGAGATCATTAAATTTTGTAAAGGTTAATGGCGTAGCGAGGGACTAGGGGCATTTATGTCATTTAAAAATCGGACCATGCTTTGAACGTCTCGTTTGCTTGCTTAATCTTTGAACTTGACTTAGTCCACACAATGTAACTGGCACTGCTTGTGACAATTATTTTGTCTATATGTGATCGAGGCACCTGTACATCAGCCCCTCCCCCTTGAGTCACGGATTGTTTCTTCTTTTCTGTTTGCCATATTCTCAGACACTCTCTCCCTTTGATCTACGTTATCTCCTTCATTATTCATCTGTCATTTTGCACGTAACAGTCATTTGGCCTCAATCCCATCTCTCCCCCTCCCCCTTCTCTCTCTCTCCTCTCTCTCTCTCTCTCTCTCCCTCTCTTTCTCTCTCTCCCTCTCTCTCTCTCCCTCTCTTCCTATCTCTCCCTCTCGTTCTCATCTCTCTCTCCCTCTCTCCCTCTCTCTCACTTTCTCTCTCTCTCTCTCTGATAAATATGAACAAAAAAATAACAAACGCAATGGGGCTTTAGATTTTAAGGGAAATTCCTTACTTGAATATTACCAACGTTCCTGCAAAATGAGAAGCATTTCAAAGCCCCTCCCCCTCCCCCCAAAAAAAAACACGTTGATATGCATACTGTATACGTATAAAGCCCTTGAGAGACACTTCACCCCTCCCCTATACCTTGTTAAAATCTGGCTGCGCCTCTGGTAAAGCTGTTTGTGGACGTATGAGCCATGAAATATCACCCCACTGAGTCAGTTCTAGAAAACATTGTAAACTCCAGACGTCAAAGCGGTTCAAAGATCACAAACGTGCAGTTCCGTTACCTGGTCCGAAGAGATTAATGGCTTTGATTTCCTTTGTCATTTTCTGCAAATAATAGAAATTAATGATATAAAGCCAGTCTTAGCGAAGTTCACCCTGAGTACGTAGATATAAGACCATTTTTTAACCAAAAAAATGAGCCCATATTTACAGGAAACGATTATATTTTGTGCCCCACTGAGAAAGTTCTAGAAAACATGTAGACTCAAGACGTCAAACCGGTTCAAAGATCACCAACGTGCAGTTCCCTTCCCTGGTCCGAAGAGATTAATGGCCTGTTTTCCTTTGTCATTTTCTGTAAATTATAGAAATTTATGACATATAGCCATGTAGTCTCAGGGACATTCACCTCGGTACGAAGATGTTAGACCATTGTTCTTAAAAATGAGCCCATATTTGCAGGAAACGATTATATTTTGTGCCCCACTGAGTGAGTTCTAGAAAACATGTAGACTCAAGACGTCAAACCGGTTCAAAGATCACAAACGATTTGTTTTCCTTTGTCATTTTCTGCAAATTATAGAAATTAATGAGAGCCAGTCTAAAATGTAAGACCATTGTTCTAAAAAAAATGATCCCATATTTGCAGGAAACGATTATATTTTGTTTTGCCCTTCTTCCCCACCCCCCTGCTAACCGAAGACTTGAATAAAAATTAGATTGCTAAACACCCCCTGCATAAAATAATGGAGCATTGCCAATTAACTAGTGGACGAATCGTGGTATATCAGTAAATTACTGCAGGCTCTCATGCCAGAGATCCGGGGTTCGATCTTTGCTCGGTGCTTACAT